GTCCATCGTGAAAGCGGATTTTTTTTAATTTTAACACTTTTTGGAAACTAATTTTAAATCTAACACGGCTGGGTTTTTTTTAAACTAACACTTTTGGCCGCGCCTATTGCCCTGGCGCGGCCAAATGTCTGTGCCGCGCCACGGGCTGACGTGGCGGTAACCGGGTCCGCTGACCGTTGACGGGACAGGGCCTGCCACGCCACCGATCTTGGCGCGGCTGGGCCGCGCCACGGAGCATGGCGCGGCTGGGCCAAATAAAACCCAGCAGTGAGGCCATCGGCCCGTCCATGCCCCCCGCCGCCGCCCGCCGCCGCCGCCCGCAGCCAGCCGCCCATGACACACTACACGCCACTTAGCGCTACCGGCACCGCCTGCTCGCCCCAGCCAATGCCGCCGCCGCATACGCGCTTGCCCTCAGGCATCATTTAACGCCAAGCGTCAAGGCCGTCAGCTCCTAAGGTACCCCCTCTCGATTTCATGTTATTTTGATTATTATTATTTTAGAATAATTAGTGATTGAGGATATTTAGTGATTTATGATAGTTAGTAATTTAGGATACTTAGGGTTTTATGATTGTTATTGATTTATGATAGTTTGTCAAATTTAGGATACTTACTGATTTACGATACTTAGGTTAGTGAATTTGTTTGTGATTTACGTGGGTAGTTTTTAGGTTTGAGATTGTGCGTTCTAGTATAGTTAGGAATTTGGGTTTAGAGATTGATTAGGTATTTATTATTTAGTTTATACTTAGTTATTTAGTTAGGGATTTTGGGTATACCTACTAGTTTACAAATGTCGGTACTTACTAGTGCGTGATACGTCGATTTTGATGACTTCATGAAGTTTCGTCAAATGCTTATATTCCTAGTGAAGTTGTTTATGTTAAAGTGCATGATATGTCTGTTAATGTTACTTTGAATATATACATGTGCTTTCATATTGTGTTCGTATTGCATAACAAGTAGTTCAAAATTTGTAATGCTACATAATGTTAATTTGAATTTTGTTAATTTGAATACTCTAACGCTTTGTTTATCAATTTGTAACAGGATGGCCCCAGCCACGCAGCACCCGTTGTACCCCTATTCTTGAGGTGGAGTACGACGACCAGCACCGAGCACATATCTTGAGTGACAACGACGCAGAGGTGGCCTTGCCTCCTTTGAGGCCCCGCACGCACACCAGGGCGCACCAGTGGGACGAGCGTTACGCGTCGTACATACGGCGTGCCGGCTTCCTCGAGCTTGTCCGTGTTGTCAACCACGTTCTTTCGCCCCTTGACCTAGCACTACTTTCTGCAGCTGTAGACAGGTGCGAGTGCATTCTTTGTACGTAAACTTTCTTGTAATAAATTTGAGGCAAGTAACAGTCGTTATATTCTTATAACAGGTGGAGGCCTGAGACCCACATGCTCCACCTACCTTGTGGCGAGATGACCTTGACCATGTAGGACGTGAAGGCTATTTTTGGCCTTCGGCTGGGGGGACTTTCAGTGACAGGGATAGTTGACAACGATCACTGGAGGGAGTTGGTGGCTCAGTTTACTGGCTTTCTTCCACCAGACGATGAGGCTTTCAAGAAAAATAAGTGAGAAATTGAAGCTTATTTAATACTTGCATTGCTTTCCTGCAGCCATCGGGTCTCATTTTGTTTGGTAAATTTCAAGAAAACTTCCGGTGTTTTGTCGTCCTGGATCACGGAGTGCTTTGATTACTTGGACCCACAGGCTGATGAGGCTCAGATCGATAGGTTCGCTCGAGTTTGGCTCTGGCACTTTCTTGGTGCTTTCCTCTTTCTAGATGCCTCGGACAACACCATCAGCTGGATCTTCCTTGACATACTACGGCAGCCGTGGGAGAACATAGCGGCGTACAGCTGGGGCAGCGCAGTCCTGGCATAGACGTATCGACGGCTATGCATTGCCTGCCGTCGTACCTCAGTGTACGCGAACCTTGGGGGTTGCTCGTACCTACTCCAGGTTTGATATTGGGAACGATGGCCCGTTGGGAGGCCCCTTAATACTGGTTTACCGGTAATTACTTCGGTTCATTATATTCTTCGATATGGTTACATATGATGAGTTTATTAATGGTTAATTCATTATCGTGTTCAATGCAGCACTGGAACGGACATGATACACTCTCTACAGCTCTGTTTATCTGGACGGAATCAGAGTTAGTTAGAGAGAATGCGAGGCGCAAGTACAGGGAGTACACGGATGGTCTCGACGTCCTGACACAGCACCAAGTTACGTTCTCTTTACTATCATACATGTGTCTTGTTCGATCTACGCTATATCACAGCCTAGCTCAATTACGAAATATTCAGGTGCATTGGTGTCCTTGGGATGCTCCGGAGTTCTAGTACTATCTTAGTCCTGTCACTAGGGATGAGTCAGACGAGTATCGCTGCAACGTCCCTCTTATTTTCTTCCACGTGGTCGAGATTCATGTGCTCGTCAGGGTCTGAGACAGTTTGGAAGAATAACAAGCTATCCACCACCGCTTTACTCCACCAACCAAGGATTGTACGAATGAGTTATCGATTAATAACAGAGCTACAATTCAGAGGTGTGTGTGGTACAACTAACATTGTTTTGTTGCAGATATGACCGTAGGAAGAGGTACAAGACCAAGGATTGGCATGTGACACAACGCGCACATCCACTTGTGGGAGACTAGAGAACGGTAGCCGGTCCATGCGGGTCCTCCACACGACCAGCACACCTTCGACGAGTACCTGCGCTTGCTTCACAGGTCTACGAGGACACATATCAAGCCCCCGTACACTGAGGAAGTGATTGACGAGGACTCAGAGGAAGATGTGATCGAAGATGTGTACGACGTTGCCACTAGAGAGGACACACAGCTATAGAGAGCCCCGCTACAAAGATACGTGGTAAGATACTTGAATGGTACAATTTATTATCCATTTGGTATTAATTATGTATACTAAAACTGTTCAACCGCGTTTCTATACCCAGGCGACATAATTGTCGAGGCTGTCCAACGAAGCAGCGTACCAACTTCACGAGTCTAGAGGGCAGGGGCCAGGCGTTCTAAAGGCTTTTGTGGAGGTAAACAAAAACTAGTCCGTTCTAAAATTGTTTCTTTAGTGTATATGCGTTTGGGAAATGCACTAATTTTAAAGTCTATTTATACAGAAGGTGAAGAAGAGCTGCAGGAAGCTAGCTCAAAAGTTGAGCTGCATGGACACTCCTTATGAGGAACCGCCACTCCCGGCGTGGTCGGGTGTCACGTCTTCAGCCTCTTTGAGGACACCAGCCGGCTCTTCTCAGCCGGTGACATGTGCCACTTCCGCGGTGCGTACACCACCACATCATAGCGCTGGTAAGGACCCTGCAACCGAAGACGACGAGGACGATGACAACGACAACCAGTGGAAAAATTGGCCGCAGGGCGAGATCGGCATGTGTCAGGTAGTTAGTGCCCCACTTGGTACCCAAAGAGCCTCACAGGTACTAACAAATGTAGTTTCTTTAAATACGTAGGCTACATGAACTAACGATCATAAAGAATTCTAAGTAATCATGCATATCACATACTTGTAGGGTACGAGCCGTACGCACCGGTAACGCGACCACACCGACGTTGGCTACACTTCCAATGTGTTGCCAACAAATCCGAAGAGACAAAGGCTTCGAGGGATCCTTACACTCCTGGGTCTTAGTTTGTTAGGTCGAACTATTATTGATGTCCGAAACTTGCAGGCTTAGTTGGTTATGTTATGTCGAACTTATGTCAAACCAATTAAAATGTTATGTGGCAGCTTGTCAACATATGTTATTTGCTTCATATCCGCTTCAATGCGTCGTGTCATCACTGCTTGCGAGATTAAGTAGCAACTAGTTTGGAAACCGGCAGTCCCAGGGTATCTCGACGCCGGTGGCCGGCGTCTTGCGCGAGGGGTCGAGGAAGCCGGGGTCCATGATCGCGTCGTCGCTGATCCTACAATATGGGGCAAAAATATCATTGGCTTATCAAATTCTCTATTCGGCCATGAAAAAAATTTAACAAAATATAGAAAACAAATTCACTATTGATTTTACGTTAAGCAATACTTAGAATAACTCCCATTATCGGTAGTGACGCAGCGTTCGGGGATGGCGGCGCGGCGGCTGTGCTTGCTTGCTTCGCTTCGGTGGCATGATCGGGCAATGGGGTTTTATTTGGCCCACCGCGCCATGCTGCTTCAGGTATGCGCAGATCGCCGCGCTAAGATCGGATTAAGATAAACCATTTGGTGCGCGCCAGTCAAAAGCGCGCGCCAAAAGTGTTAGTTTTAAAAAAAACCCGGTCATATTAGATTTAAAATTAGTTTTCAAAAAGTGTTAAAATTAAAAAAAAAATCTGAAAGCGAGGGTTTCCAGAAAATCTACAAAATTGCTGGAAATGTTGAATACGCGAGATGCCCCGCACTTTATAGTTGCTTGTCAACACATGTAGTTGGCAGTTGTCGACGGACCCGCCTTGAAAAAGCCCATGACGGTCAGTGACCGAATGAATGAGCGTGTGGCGTGTGCCTTTGGTTTTCTCGGCTAAGCTGCTTGACACGTGGGCTAATAACTTCATTAGCTCCTGACCGCGGCCTGCTGATCCAATGGCTGGCCCGAAGCGGGGCCCACATGTCTGCCTGCCAAACCCCACCTCCGCCCACCCCGCCATAAAAATAGACCGAGTCCATGTCGCGGCGCCAGAGCCTACGCGCAGTCGCAGAGAGACCAGCAGCGGCAGCAAAGCCATGGCAGCAGCCCAGCAGGCGAAGCGAGCCTAGCCAACCCGGGGCCAGGGGGAGGGGAAGGGAAACCGAGGCAGGCGGCGGCGGCGGCGGTAGCAGCAGCGCAGGGCGCACGCGCTTCTCGTTTCGTGTCCCCAGCCGAGGGGAAGGACGAGGGAGGAGGAGGCACAGCTTCGAGGAGGTCTGTACGGTCCAGGGCGTGAGGCTGGCGGCCGAGGGTCCGGGCGCTGCGGGCGGCATGGGGAGGGACGAGCTGCTACGGCGGAGCCTCGTGGCGCTGGCGGCGGCCGTGGTGCTCACGGGGCTGGCCACGGCGTCGCTGCGCAAGGCGGCGGCCACGTATGGCTTCGGCATCCTCGCCATCGCCGGCGTGCTTCTCCCGGACTGGGAGTTCTTCGACCGCGACTACTCCCAGTGGCTCACCCCCATGCCCGCCTCCCGACGCACGGCCGCGGCTGCGGCCGCCGACCGGGAGCACGACGTCTGGAAGTAAGACTCCCCAGCCTTTCCCTCCCTCCCTCCCTCTCCCTCTCCCCTGTTCTGTGATCTTTCGCTACGGTCTGTACGTCTGTGGAATTTATGTTCTTGGGAGTCTCGGGCAGTGCCAAAGATCGCTCGCTCTTAGGTTTCTCAAAAGTAGTAAAAATTTGGTCGTTCTTTTTTGGGGCACTCCGTACATGAGATCTTGCTTTATTTGGAAATCGAGTCGAGGTACAAAACCACATATTGCATCTTGGATTTCATTCAGAACTAGTATCGTACAGCATTTAGATGGTTTAGATAAGCAAATTTTTCTGGATATTGTACGTTTCGTTTGCAAATTTTTGCGATGCGTTAAAAATCCAGTGCCGTCTCAAAAGGGGCAGGGTTATTTTTTTACCTACATTTAATACTTCATGCATATATCCAAAAATTGATGTGATGAAAAGAGAGTGAAAAAACTTAAAATTTAGAGGTGATCTAACCAAGGCCTAGCACGATGCACGCCGGGCGTGCACGGTAGTAATTAGCGAGCTGCCTGGCGCCTTGATGATAGATTCGTGCCTGCGCAAGACGCATGTCCGCATGTGTCGTGTGTGGCACTCGGGAATTGAAATTCGTGCCTGCGCACCGTATCCTCCGGCTCCCAGCCAATCCCTCCGTTCCGTTCGCTTCTCACTCTTCTTCGAGTTGTGAAACGATAGACTAAATCTGTCCCCTACAAGACGTTTTGTCTTTTTTTTAAGATACATTATAATTACCATGTATCTAGACATAGCAAATACAACGTATCTAAAAAAATTAAAACATCTTATAATTTAGAACTGATGGAGTACAAAATAAATTACATTAAATTAATTCTAAAATATATTTTTATAGTAAATCTAGTTAAAGATATACATATTAAATATTATTCTCTATAAATTTTGTTAAAGTTAACATAGATTAACTTGTATAAACTTTATACAGGGTATTCTAAAAAAAACTTTATACAGGGTACGTGGATGTGCCTGTGCTCCGTGCCACTGCCACCGTAGTAGATGATGACTTCAGGCGGTCACGTCAATACGATTGCAAATATTTTATTGGCACTACGTTGTGAAGCGACACGATACTTTCATGAATCCTCCCTCCGTTTAAATAAAAATAAAATGCAATTCTCCGAGTAAAACAATTTCACATTCAATTAAATATATAAAATGGAATTGAATAATATAACTTGATATTATTTTTAGAAACTTAGTTAAAATTTTACAAATTATTCTTTTTAAACTTGTAGTTATATTCTTCAGGACGAATGGAGTATTAGCCATAAGGGTAAAAGAATCTAAGTTCCGTCATGTTTAGAAGAAATGTATTAGAATATATAATTGCATGTCAATATTAAACTCTCTTGATTTCTATACCCGATTGAGTGTGGAATGATATAGTACGTGTGATGGGTACAACACATGTATTGAATATTTCTCAGAACAAGTAGCGCAGCCTATGGATCTGTTTGGCGGGCTCATGAGGACTAGAATAGGAGCCACTTTTGCAGCTTGAGCTTGAAACGACTCAAAAAATGACGACTCCTCTTCCTCAAGTATTCAGTACGTTTTCTTTGAAACTTTTGTAGAAACGGCTGCCGGAGCCATGCTAAATAGGCCCTAAATGTGTTTGGATGTCATATATAGCGCCACTGCCATCGGTGCTCATGCCTCGGAGCCTAACCCTGTTCGCTTGAGCTAGTTTTTAGCTATAGAATATTATTTTTCTCTCAAAACAGTTTAGCATAAGCATTAGAATGAGTCAAATTTTAGCATAAGTGAACATGACGTAAATTTCTAGCCTAACACCACACAAATTTAAGGTGTCAAAAATCGGAGAGGCGCTGATCGGAATACGGAGTATATATGAACTATGATCGAGGCTAATAAGGGGGTGTTTGGATCCAGTGACTAAAGTTTAGGAGGTGTTACATGAGGGTGTCACATGGGGTGTTCGGATACTAATAAAAACAAATTACAGAATCCATCAGTAATTCGTGAGACGAATTTATTAAGCCTAATTAAGCTGTCTTTAGCACATGTTTACTGTAGCACCACATTATCAAATCATGAACTAATTAGGCTTAAAAAATCGTCCTGCAAAACAGTCTTAAGTATGTGTCAAATATCCGATGAGACAGTGACGAAAGACACGAAACCAAACACCCCCTCAGCAGCCCCCAATGTGAGGCTATCCTACCGACCTATGTTCATCGAACACTAGTTCTTCGGGCGCGCCCATGCGCGCGGGCCACTGGCCACACGTATTTTTTGGAAAAAAAAAGATATAATCAAGGGGGGCTGTATTTCGATTTGAGAAAAATCGAGGAGGTTTTGAAAAAAATCACGAGAGTGTCTCCGGAGTGCGGGTTGATTTTGATAAAAGGAAGGGTTTTTGCAAAAATCCGGAGCTCATCCGATTACGGATCGGGTTGATTTGAAAATTATTTGAGGTGTTATTTGCAAAATATTTTGAGAGGGCCTCTCGAGCGCGGGTTGATTTCCAAAAACATAAGGGTTTTTTTAGAAATGACCGCGCCGCCCGATTTCGGGCCGCCGATGCGCGATGATCGAACGGCCGGAACGGGCGGGCAGGGCGGACGGCAGGGTACTGCCAGCCACACGCTTTCTTGTCTTTAGATTTAGATGTAAGTTCTTGCTCAAAGATGGGCCCGGGGGGAGTATCCATCCATGCAAGGCCAAGTATATAATACTCCATACCCTTTAGTTATAGTCCATTCAACCGGAGAGGATTTAGGATTAACGAGAAGATAGCTCGCTAAGAGCCCCCACCGAAGCCCAACACTATCCTTCCCTCCCCGCCGCCCCCAGCAGCCCCCTCCACACGCCACAGTGTCATTGCCAGACTCACTCCTCCTCCTCCTCCTCACTGCTGCACTCGCCCGCAAAGGAGTCGCCGAGGCGCCTCTCCTCTCTCCTTCATCGGGGAGGCAGGTGAGTGGCCCCCTCCACGCCGCCACCGGTGGCGCTGGCGACTTCGAGCATGGTGGCGTCGAGCATGTGCACATAGCGAGCATGGTGGCGGGCGAGCTCCGCGGATCTAGCTTTGAGGGCGCCGGCCTCTCGAGCGGCGTCGACGTGGTGGGATCGGGCGACACGAGCTGTGGAAATTGGCCGTGCAATCACGCAGCACTAAAATTCGGCCCATAGTGCCATCAGGCCGGAGGCTAGCCCGTGGCACAGTGAGGCACGCGGCGCGGGAGGCACGCGTTCCGATCGGCCCGACCCCATCGGGCCGTGTTTTCACGAACTTGCCGGGCCGGGCCGCCCGTTGGCCATCTATAGGCGGGGAGGTGCGACGGCCGAGGGCCTTCACGGATGGGGCCTAAGGCCAAGTATATATAATACTCCATACTTTTTAGCTATAGTCCATAGGATTTTGGATTTGTGAATCTTGGTTACGAATAAGTTCATATCCAAATTGTCTAGGCTCTAGTTTTTTTTCCTTGTTCAATTTTTGTCTAGTACTTTGTACTCATATAGTCATGTTTTGTTGTAATTTAGATCATGTGATAGAATTTTAGAATGTTATCTAAGAAATATTCGTTGAAAGGGACCGTCGCGACAAGTTCGTCTTCGAGTGCCCTCAAAATCCTAGCAGTGAGGCACTGGTTAAAAGTACGACGACGGTGAAATCTCAAGTTATTGCCTTTCTCTTTTGTGATTTGTGAATCAACTTTTGAAGAGTTCATATCCAAATTGTCTAGGCCCTAGGTTTTTTTTTCCTTGTTCAATTTTTGTCTAGTACTTTATACTCATATAGTCATGTTTTGTTGTAATTTAGGTCATGTGTTAGAATTTTAGAATGTTACCTAAGAAATATTCGTTGAAAGGGGCCGTCGCGACAAGTTCGTCAGAGGGCTCTCAAAATCCTAGAAACCGGCACTGGTTAAAAGTACCTGACGGTGAAACTTCAAGCCACTTCCTCTTTCCAGGATTCAACTTCTTAGACAAAACTCGTGGTTTTGATTTGTCCGGAAGAGAGTTAAACTTCTAATGCACTCTTGCCAGACAATAGTTAGGCATGTTTCGTCATATATATTCAGATTTTTCTGATAAAAAGATGCATGTTGTTTTAAACAAAAATCTAGTAGATCGGTGAGGTACTCAGATTTGTTCCTGTTCCTGTTCCCGTGGATTCGACACAAAGGATCGAATGCATGTCGATCTCTGTATGGTCCAGAATATCATCGCATTAATTCTTGATCTACAATCATAACAATTAATGGGCCCTGAAGATACAATATGATCACGGAAACAAATCAAATTGCTTGAATGATATTTAGAAAAAAAAAAATCGTCTCTCAGTAGCAGTGCCACATTTGCGATAGGGACTTGCTGGCCTATATAACTAGTTTAGTTGCAGAATAATAGGGTCTCTGGCTGGTGGTCCACCTGCTTTCAATGCTGCTATCGATCGCATAGGTTCAGCGGCATCTTGCTTCTTCTTTTTTGCTACAGCACCTAGAGGTTGGTTTATGGTTGTGTCTACCCGTCTAGGAAGCTTTTATGAGTCAAAATTATGTGGATGCAAGTTTTAGTCATTGATTATTTGCATGACCTGATAACAGTTGGACTGTTGGTGTTTTAAGCGGTGGATTTGGTTTGTAGTTGGACTACGAGCAGCTGAAATATCGCCTTCGGGACTATTTTCGTGTCTTTGGATGTATATACGTTTCTAATGGTTGGTTACCAGATTGTCGCTATTACATATAGAAAGGTGGAACAAGTCACTTCTTTTGACCTGGAAAAAACTAGGATAGCGTTTGGTTCACATAGATGTAACACAACTTGATTACGGCAGGTAGTAGGTCCCATTACTCAATGTTTGTTTCCGCGCTCCTGTAATCGAGTCCCTCCGGCAACGAATACCGTTCTATATAATAAAAGTGATACAGCTCCAAACCCGATGTAATCAAATACCGTTTCGTCGGTGTCTCCTGCAATCCTGTCCCCTTTGCGTTTCCCCTACCATTTCGACAACCAAACAACTCGCGATGATTTGTCTAGAGACGACCTAACTATCTTATGTTTTATTTTAATTAGTCAAAAAGCTCAAAATAAAAGGTGGGGAAAAAATTTGGCTGCAGACCTCATCAGAGAAGAGGCATCAGTCAGTCCGCACTTATTACAAGAAACCCCCAGCTCACACTCTGAGTTTTGAAATGAAAGGTGACTGTTACTTTGGTGCTGCTGATTGATTGGTCAATAGAATTCCAAGCATAACAGGTTTCAGCATAAGGTGTAACTGTAATCACCATTGAGAGATGCAAGTTGATCCTCAGACCTTGCAACAACTTAGTATTTACTAACAACTTATCTAAATGAGAGCATAGTTGGGTACATTCCTGAATTCTCTAGACTGGTTTTCTTGATAGCTGAACGTAGTGTTTTTTTTTGGTCCCATGCTTGTTACTTATCAGACATTCAGACCTGCACCTCTTACAGCATTGTAATTATTAGCACCCAAGATAAGTGATGGTCTGATAAAGATTTTGAGTGGGTGTTCTGATCGTGTTTCAGCCTGGCGTCAATTTAGTTGTTCTGCTTGCTTGTCTCTTTAAACATCTGGTGAAATCACTACCAATATGAACTACCATTGTCCAGCTGTTTACATAGGTTGTTGGTTTATCTTTTTAGGCCCCGTTCGCTGGTCTGAAATTTGGCTGAAAAACACTGTTCCGGCTGAATTGTTGTGAAGAGAAAAACACTGTTCGGCTGAAAAAAGAAACCGAACAAGCCATTTTTAGTCAGTGGGCACTAAAGTGAAGGGCAGTGTGTGGTGCAATGAGTGAGACCAGATCTAACCTTTTAATATCTGGTGAAACCTGCAAATAAAACAATCATTCCTTTGTAAACCTAACGTAAAATACTAATGTGTTGAAAACAAATGTATGGACAATAAGCATGTCTGTGCCCCTGTTGTTTTACAGATGATTGCACCATTTGGTTTCTGAAGTTCAACTTGGTGCCTAACAATGAGTATAGTTCGTGTCTTGACAATAGCTATAATATTCAGAGCAATAAGATTTACTTGACCCTGTCTGCACGAGGCTTTGCTAGTTCAAATTTTCTAATATCTTTGGTTCATGACCTATAGAAGTACTAACATTATTTCTGTAGTTGGAGTAGGCTTTGGTAGCGCACGAAAATCTGATGATAGTCTCTGAGGCTGGTTGGTGCTTAGCTTTGTGATTTAATCAACGAAACTCGTTGAAAAATTCAGCCATGGTTTGGCTACACCAACATGGACTTTTATATCACCAGGTTGTTGAGCTTTCACCTAATTATGGCATGAGAGTTTGACAGGTATATTTTGGAAACATCTGTGGGACATAGTTCCCATCGGTTCGAAACAACTGCAAATCGCGAGTGACCGCACGTTTATTGAAAATAGATGGGCATCAATACCACGCACTGTACTTGACTCTCCCATCATGCTTTGTGTTACCTTATCACGTCGAGAAAACTAGGCCTACCAGCTTTCTTGATGCCATCAAGAAGAATATTTTGCACTAATAAAGTATGGGATAATAATCGTCCCTAATGGTGGACATGCAGGCGATAACCGTCGAATGCTATTCTTCACCTTGCCTGTTCCCAGCATTCTTTCTCAGTGTTGCATTCAGTATGCGTGATACTAAAACATCTGTGTTGCATTCAGTATGCGTGAAACTAAAACAGCAACTTCTAGTTCTGCTTCTCATGTATCTCCAATTTTTACTTTGCTATTCATCCAAATACTGACCTCCATTCCCTGTTTTCTTGGCTCCTACAGATTCAAGCCCTATCCTCTCAGGGTGGCCATGCTGACGACGATCTACGGGTTCGGTCTTTACAAGTGGTGGATGTACGTATCTAGCTAGTGGGTCCTCCTCTCCCTCCTGCATCTCTTCCCCTTAGCAAAGTTCCTTTTTCTTTTAAGAAGAAAAATACCATGATAGTGCCTTTGTCATATCTCAGCCATTCTTCACCGTGATCAGATGAGCCAGCTATATCGCCTGGCTAATACGCTGCTGATATGAAAAATCTTCTAATGGGGAACGACCCTCGACACAAGTTGGTGTATGTAATGTAAGAGCGTCTCCAACAACCGCGACCCAAAATACAAAACTCATTTGTCCTTTTGGGTAGCGCCGCTAAAAAAAGGGTTCAATATCTTCTTCTTTTTTGTCTTCTCCAACAACAAGACCAAAAACAATAATTTCTGCAAATGGGTCTTCAGAGAGAGAGGATACTCAGATTTTGGTTTATGCCTCTCCTGATATCCAAAATGGATCTTCTATATAGGTACTTTGTTGGTATTGTGTTAGAGACTTATTTTAGGTTTGGATTTGGGTTCCCTAATAAGTCTCCTGTTGAAGACAGCCTAACTAGTGGGATTTTGTAATGTGCAAACGCCAATCATTTGTTAGCTGGAAACATGAATCTAGGTTTTATTCTTTATCCCATTTGTCACTCTTGCGGTATTCCTTTCGTGCTGGTGCGGTTTCTCTTGGCCATCATCATAGCTTCTGAAGGACTGTATGAACATGAATCTTACAGTTTGCACAGCTCTTTTGTCCGCCAGTTACTCCTACCCGCCTGTATGTTCTGCTTACTTGGGTTTGTTGGAAATCGGTCGAGCCCGAATGAACTTGTTTTGGTCATTTGGTGTGAGTGGTGTTCAGTGGTTTAGGTTGGAAGCTAGGCGTCGTTTGGCAGGGATTCTAACCCGTCCGGCTGGTACGGAAAATGTACTGTTCATGCTGAAAAAAAACACTGAAATGTAAACACTGTTCCGGTGGTCAGCCGAACAAGCAGCGGACGGGGCGGCGTTTCTGGAAGGAACGCCCGGCCTGGCAGGCAGGTGATCGTGACATGGTGAGCGTGTCGGCTGGGTAGGAGCCGCCAGGGCCAGGTGCCATACTGCCATGTGGAGTTGGAAACTGGTGGATGATATGGATCTCTTCCGTGGCACGCACTCAGACCGGTTTCGTTTCCTCCATCGTCTAGGCGTCATTTGCGGTCTAGGTGCTTGCTTGTCCGGACACCGGAGGAATCAGGAACCGGTCCAGTTTCAGCAAACAGCGTTGCAGCGACTAGCCTCTTCCTGATTCGAACCTTGAGGCGGGCGCTAAAGGATCAGAGATTAGAACTCGACGGCATGGCGAACCCATACTACATCTCTCTCCCTGTCCAGTGCATTGTATGGGCCCGCACAACGTGCCGACCTTGCAGACATCGCAGCGATGTTCCGGTCCGGTGCGACAGACCGCAACGTTTTTATTTTCCTTTGATCGAGAGACATGAATGAGTGACACGCTCTCCTGGTCCTAGCATTTTGTTACGCGACGGTGACGAGCATCATCTGAAAACAACCCCAACTCCAGCTAATAGCAGAACAGAACACCAGGCCACCCCCGCGCGGCCGCGCTCCAGCCTCCCCAGCCCGCGCCCGGCCGGGCCCTCCCGCTCCCGCTCCCCTACCCGCGCGATCGCCGCCGCAGCAATGCCTCCCCCTCCGCCGGCGGCCGCCCGCAGCAGGGGGCGGTGCAGCGCGCTCAGCTTCGCGGCGGCGCGGGACCGGTGCTTCAGCCACCGTTTCCGCAGGGCGGGGCTGCGCCCGCCCGCCGTGCCGCTCCCGGCGCCCCCGCGCCCGGACCCGGACCCCGATCCCGACCCGGCCACCACCGTCCACATGTGGGTGCCCGCGGAACCCGCTGCTCCTCCTGCACGGCTTCGGCGCCTCCGCCACGTGGCAGTGGGCGCCCTACCTCCGCGCGCTCATCGCCGCCGGGTTCGACCCCATCGTGCCCGACCTCGTCTTCTTCGGCGCCTCCCCGACCGCTCCGACGCCTTCCAGGCCTCCGCCATCAAGGCCGCCATGGACGCCATCGGGGTCCCCAGGTTCGGCCTCGTCGGCGTCAGCTACGGCGGCTTCGTCGGCCACCGGATGGGCGCCATGTTCCCGTAGGCCGTCGACCGGGTCGCCTTGGTCTGCGCGGGGGTCTGCCTCGAGGAGAAGGACCTGGCCGAGGGACTCTTCCCCGTGGCTGGGGTCGGGGTGGCCGCCGCGTTGCTCGTGCCGCGCCGACCGGAGGAGGTGCGCCGCCTCGTCCGCCTCACCTTCGTGCGCCCGCCGCTCATCATGCCCTCCTGCTTCCTCTGGGACTACATCAGGGTTGGTTATTACTTACTACTCGGTTTCAGTCTTTCAGTGTTCGGATTCTGTCAAATTTGGTTTGAATTTCCACCGTGTACTCTGTTGGATTCTTACATTACACGGCTATAGAACATCTGGTGGGAGTGGGATTATAAAATCACATTAGGGGGGAATACTTAGGCACCTCTAGATGAGAGAATGTTGTGTTCTGTGTGCTGTGTGGGATGGTAACTGCGTTGGATCGTAGTGTTTAACTTCTCTCTGCTGCACCGTGCCGTGCACATGCAAAGAGGGCCCCAAGTGGCCCTTCGCACTTGGGCAGTTGTGCTGCCCCATTTGAATGTCTGGGACTGAAACTGCTATGGCTTCGGCTCGCCTGGTTTCAGTGGTAGCCAATAGACGCTTAACAATTCACTAGATATCTTATATTGTAATTATTCTTCTCCTGAATGAGAATTCTTCTAGTGGATGCTGGAAACTAGTGTTCGATCGTAGTTATTTCACTTATCTGTGGTTAACACGTAGATTTGGTGGAGCCGACAAAGCCTCACAATACTTACACGTGTCGATAGCTTGGGAGCATATCATCGTTTTGCCTTTGTCCTTGTTCGCATATTTGCATATGTTATTCGCTTCTGTGGAAGGCAGAGGCATGGGCAGCATGACCACCAGCCATTTGCACGTGCAAGGCGCCAAGGCCCGTGGTGGGCTGTGAGTGGTGACACCCAATGTAGTAAACTTCCCATGAGAATATCACCTGATATCCCCATGTAAACTGAAATAACCACTGATGTATAGTTGTAGTTGTGATGTTCTTTGAGCTTTCCCTAAGTACCATGCCAGAAATTTACTTGAAGTTGATGTGCCTATTTCATTGAAGTGGAGCGAGCCTTGTTCACAAATCCTTCTTCAAATCAAGCTTAATTTGCTTTTATCAGATGACTTGTTAGGGATTTCGAACACTTTTAAGTACATGCATGGAGCTTAACTCTTTATCTGAACTTTAAATTCTTTTGCAAGTGAACGTTTATTCCTGAACACGCAAGTTCATTTCCATGATAAAGCTACTTCTTTCCCTCCTAGAAGACTCTACAAAGCTACTTCCCACTTTGCCTTTTTCTTTTGACAAGGGCTCACTTCCCTTTTGATCAGGTACTTTTGACTGGAAGGGTAACTAAAACGATTCTTCTGGTAGTGGCTTGGTGGTTCTCTGGCTGCTGACATTAGAGCAGTATTTTTGCGATCTGAGTGCATTTCATAAGCTTACACATCTTTTTTTAACGCAAAGCTTACACATCTACAAGATGTACACTAGTGACATGGATGTGCTGCTTAAAAGGATATTTTTATACATCAAACAATGTAGCCAACGAACTAGTGAGATTAATTCCAAGTAAATGGATACATCTCTATCTTAGGCAACGTCATCGATGTGAACCAAATTTTTATTCTTTCGGTGATAAAAGATGCAAATGGATGAAAAGTGAAAATTAAACCGTTTGAAAAGACCCTCACTTCACCAGCTTTTGGGGTCAAGCAGGAGTGAGGCAGAACAGTGGCGAATTAGAATGCCCAGGAAGAAAAGGCCGGTGGTTGATCATTGGTGCATGCTTTTCCAAACAGCAATGGCTCAAATCCCATGAGCTTGGAGAGCAAAAAGAAATTTCATATGTACTCTGATCTTATCACTTCTCTAAATCCATGATGTAGAGAATTGTAACATGTAATCTACACTCCCTGACGGGCCATTTTGGGGCCAAATGCAATACAAGTTCAGGTGGGGAATCCCGCATTGACTGTCAAAAAAAAAAACCGTTTGAAAAGCTTGCCTTTGCAATGCTTCATTATTAATACTTCGTCGCTGTGAAAAATCATGCAGAGCTACAACAGGTCTACAGTAAAACATCATCAGTTTGATTTGCTGATGACCGTTCTGCCTTGTTTTACTGCATCAGGTGATGGGCTCTGATCATATCCAGGAGAAGACTGAGCTGCTATACGCTTTGATTAATGGGAGACAACTCTCTACTCTTCCAAAATTGACCCAGGTACATAAATCCTAGTGACTAATGCTGAAGTCCAGCATGTTTATATCGTTACATTTGAGAGAACTGACTGCCGCCTGCTTGTGACAGTATATTCTTGAACCTTTTACTATCCACTCGATGACCGTGACACCAAAAAGAAAACTAAATGATTTGCAGTCTCTTTCATTGATACTACTTTTGTCAATTCGATCTAATGCAGCCGACGCTTATAATCTGGGGGGAGCAAGATCGAGTGTTCCCAATGGAGCTGGCTCACAGATTGAACCGGTTCGCTACTACCTCTGAAACTCTCTTAGTCGACATGAAGTTTACTTTACCAAGACCCCCATGAAATTTGTTACGAAATTGCTGATCACTTGACAAATCGACAGGCATCTAGAGGGGAATTCTCGATTAGTTGTCATAAAGAATGCTGGGCATGCAGTCAAATATTGAGAAGCCCAAGGAAGAAGTGTGCCGGAACATCATCGAGTTTTTCAAGGAGCCGGTTGCTGGAGCTGCAAACGCGGACGACAAGGTGGGAACCTTTCATCTCTAACCAAGAGACCTGAGTTATGCCAATCTGAAGAGTTGCAGGATTTGTGATTTTTTACTTGCTCAATCCCTCGATTGCTCAACAGATGATGCACTAGCCCTTCTTTAAAACTTGCACGTAAACGAACATAGATCATGAAGCTTACTATATTCGCATGTTGGCTGGTTCCCGATGGTTAATCTTATAAATAACGTTGTGCTATGGTTCATCGCAGGTGTAGCTTGCACCAATGGCGGACGCGGACAGGTCTTCGCTGGGCATCAGTAGACGGCAGACAAGCTTGTGGCACGCAAACCAAGGCAGATACGTGGCAATGTACATCTCTCCGCCATTGTCTGGTGTAGTAGAGTCATAGCAGTAGCGATTCATAAAGCACAATGTAACGGGAAACAGAGCAAACCAGAGTGGCTCAAATCCGAGTGAAATCCCTGTGTTGTTGCCGTTCTCGCATGCCTATCGCCCTCACGCGGCTACGTGTCCAGAAACTCTGGAGTGTTGATGTGTGGAAGCATATGATTTGGCCGTCCAGAAACTAAAACGCATCCCTCGCGTACAAGAGCAGTCTTTTTCATGGGCCAACGCAGTTGATTGTTCGTTGAACGTCCCCACGGCCCGTTGGCCCAACAATATACACACACACAAAAGTTGAGCTGGAGGACCCAAAAATTGGGGTGAGAGAGGCTCGAACTCTCGACCTCAGGATCACTCACGTTTAGCTATGAGACCTACGCGCTAGCCAACTGCGCCACCACCCCTTTGTGATGATCTGGTCTAATAAAATTTATATAGTCATAATAAAATACATAGATTTGTACAATAGGTTCAAGACATTATCCTTCACTTAACCGTGTTTTGTGTGTGCATGCCGCAATGTTTATTCAAGTCGTTTGTTGAAATTTATGACAAGATGGTATTCCTAAGAAGTAAGAAGGAGCAGTTTCATAAAGGATGTAGATGATTGATAGAGAGATTGTCCATCAGTGATGGATCTAGCAACCATTTAGACGAGCTAAATTCTTCTTGCTCATTCTCCCACATCTCATCTAGTAACTTTTTCCACTCTGTTCTGTAGCACTACTTCTACAGTTCTGCAGCGAATGAACAGTGTTTCCTCTTACACATTTCAGCATAAGCCAAAATTTCAGCGAAACGAACAGGGCCGTTCATCTCCACACGCCTCATCTTTTTCGTTCTACCTATAAGGCTTAAGTTGCCAACAACATGATAACCAAGTTTTGGAACAATCCTTATGGTGATGTTGCTCCTGAAGATGATAGTTGATAAATCTTTGGAGTCATTATTTCAAACGTGAATTTTCCTCTTACTGTAGTTTTGTCCTAAGTTGAATAATTTTAGTCCCGGTTTAAATTACAACTGGATTATTATAATCTAAATTATGTATATTATTTTTATAATCAAGATTATGTATTATAGTAATTGGAGTGTTTGGATTTCGATTATTGTTGGTTAAAGTGAGAATGGCTACAATCCAGCATTGTTTAGATCACAACTAGATTATTTTAGCTGATAACAACGGATCCAATCATGGCTTTCAACTCAATAAATTTATAGAGAAGAGTATCAATATTAATGACCTGACTAGAAAACATATTTCATGCCAAATCTAATAAAATACTTATTTTTAGGAGTATGTTGGTACATTTTGTATAAACTTAATCAAATCATAATGATTTTCTTTTAGAGTGCAGAGAGTATTATTGTACGTATTACATCAACGACCTACCGTCCCACACGGAAGTACGGCATTACAGCACACGCTCTGAATAATTTCAGCACTTGGCGCGCGCGATCTCTTGGATGAACCTGTCGAGGTTGACGCGCGACGACCCGCCCGTCGCGACGGCCGCCCTGGCCTTCTCCTTCCACTCCGCGGCCCTCCTCCTGGCCGCGGCGCCCCTCCCCTGGGCGCCCATCAGCTCCCTGACGGCCGCCTCCACCTCGCGGCGCCCCGCCTCGCGCGGCATCTCCAGGCCCACCCCCCACTCGTCGCACGCGTACCGGCAGTTGGTCACCTGCTCCGAGAAGAAGGGCCAGCACAGCAGCGGCACCCCGGCGCGGAGGCTCTCCAGCGTGGAGTTCCACCCGCAGTGGCTGAGGAACCCGCCCGTGGTGCGGTGCTCCAGCACGGCCTCCTGGTCGCACCACCCCACCGTGAGCCCGTGCCCGGCCACCGCCTCCGCGAACCCCTCCGGGAGCGCCCACCCGCCGGCGTCGCGCACCGTGTCCGGCCGGACCACCCACAGGAACGGGCACCCCGCGGCAGCCAGCCCCCACGCGAACTCGTCCATCTGCTCGCCCGTCACCACCGTGATGCTCCCGAAGTTCACGTACACCACGGAGCCCTCCTCGTCGGCGTGCCCGTCCAGCCACGCCGCGCACCGGTCGTCGTCCCTCCACAGGCTCGAGGTCAGAGAGGGCAGGTACGACGGCGGGGAGACCTCCGGGCCGAGCGGGCCCACGGTGAAGGTGTTGGGGAGGCGGGCCCGGATGGCGTCGAGGGAACGGCGCTCCAGGTCGTCGAAGGTGTTGAGGAGGATGCCGTCGGCGACCGGGGAGTCGAGCTCGCACTGCTTGATGATGATGGTCAGCATGGTGTCGTCGGGGTCCGTGGTGCGGATGAACGTCGGGAAGTCGCGGAGGCGGGCGCCGGGCAGCATGCCGGAGATCCAAGCCACCGGGGTGTCCAGGTACCCGTTGGTGAAGCACGTCTCATCTGGGTGTATATGTGCGAGTTATTAATAATGCAGAAATGGAACCTAATGCCGACTTCAAACTGAGTTATGCGTATGATTGCATGAATGTGTATGCGATATTGCTGCTTATTTGTACTACAAAGATATCTATTATCTTATTAAGCTTCTACCTTAATTCTTAAGGTGTAGAAATCACCACGTTAACCAGAGAAAATAAAATTAAAGAGTCTTCTACATGCATCAGCAATCACTATCATTACACAAAAAATAACCCAAAAATGCCCTCAATGTATTTCGTCTATGGGCCTATTTGGATCCACCAACTAAACTTTAGTTGGCTAAATTTAGATGCTAGAGATCCAAACGGCCTAGCTAAAAGACCAGCTAAAGTTTAGCTGAGTTTAGCTACTTCAACCTAGCTAAATTCAGCTAAAGTTTAGCTGAGTCTATTAGTTAGAGGATTCAAATACCCCAGCTAAAGTTTAGCCCGGAGAACCTTTTGCTGTTTAAAGTTTAGCTTTGAAATTTTAGCTAACTAAACTTTAGTCGGGTGGATCAAAACAGGCCCTATGTAATTTGAGAATTTTGTGAGTTTGACATTTGCACTATATGCAACCCCGGTAGATACAATGAAAAGAAGCTACACCTACTTCATTAAACTATTAAGGGGGTGCTTGCATCCGGCGCTACTAATTACTAGTAGAGTCAAACACCCTAACTAATCCTTTAAATAAGAGCTCAAAATGAACTCTTTAAACGTTGGTGTCCACCGTTCATTATTCAATATTCATTGGCTTGCCGGAATCAGTGGGGAAAATTAGATGAGGATCTTCATACCCTCTAGACTATATGATGCTTTTACAATAAAATGAGAAGTACAAGCTAATAAAAAGTTATTAATTGGCTTTCCAAAGCTGATTATAGAATCTGGATTTTGAATAGCAATCTGGATTCTAGATTTTTTTTAAAAAAAAAGATGGATAGTTGGATTATAGATGGTTGAAGGTGTTTGACACCCATTATCTCTAAAGAGATGGATAGTTGGATTATCATAATCTAGCGGTTGGATTATAAAAATCTTCCCATAGAATAATCCATATGTTTGGATCTCATTCTCATAATTTTAGGAGATCCAAACATGGCCTAAGGACTACTAACTATTAGCTACAAAATCGAATTGGGATAAGCTAAAAGGTCAACCAACAGCTCCGGTGAAAAAAAAAATGTTGGCGTCCCCATGCTAACAATTAGCATGGTCCAAATATGGCGTTAATTAATTTGAGAAGAAAACTTGGCGCGTATTACTGCTATGGGAATATTCAACGCGCGCTGTAACTACGTTAATTGTCTAACTGAACTCTTGCCATATAATTGGTTACTTAATAATGTGGTGCATAAGATTGCACGTGATGATGTGATGTTGTGCATTTAGAAATAGTATATTGTAGGCGCTAAAATAAATAGGGCCTATAAATTTTAAAAATAAAAAACGTAGAGCGGCCATTCACATCTTAAAGTAGGAGTACAAATGTAACCAACAGCCCATCTCCAATCAGTCTCATCTGACCTTGTCTGGTCAACCATCTCTCAGTGGGCCGTCCCAATGGGACACCGTGATCCCTTGTAGCTTGCTCGGCCGGACCAATGTTTTATTTAAATTCTATGTGGAAGATAGTGTTAGGTTTGAGACGAAGGGTTGGACTTGATGATGGCAATGGCATACATTATTACCATCACCGATGACTGAAAAGGCTGAAAGCTAGCAAGGAAAGATAATACACAATGGCGGTAAGTGTTGTGTGTTAATTTAGTTAAACGCGGGAGCATGTTTCTCCTTGTGCTTATCTACAAGGATTGAAAGGGTCCGTATACCAAATAAAAACGAGAAGAAAAAAATGCACATCCTCTGATACAGGAGTATCTCCCCAGCTTGTGTTTTTTTTCTAAATTATTATATATACTTAGATCATGAATGAAAGTGGACCATTACGTATGATGGTGCATTGGTCCGCCATAGTTTTCATTTAAAAGATCGTTTGGAAGTTGATGCTCTCCAGCTTTTATTCTATTCGAAATTCTCGAGCGCATTGACAGCGCTTTCGCCTCGGTGGATTGGTTGTAATTGTACCCGAACCACCACATGCGTGCGCTCTCCTCGGACTGCTCGGATCACGCGCCGTTACTCCTGCGCATGAATGTCGTTCCCTGGACGCGGAAACGCTTCCGCTTCCAGTCCTTCTGGACGAAGCTGCCAGAGTTCCTTGACGTCGTCGCCTCAGCATGACAGCCGACCTTGCTTCACGCGGACGCGTTCTGGATCTTGGACTTTAAACTCCGGAACGTCGCTCGTGCACTCAAAAGTTGGAGTATGCACAATATCGGGAGCGTTCGCCTGCAACTTGCCATTGCGCGCGAGGTCATCCTGCGTTTGGACTGCGCGCAGGACCAAAGATCACTGTCGACTGAGGAGCGTGCACTACGAAAGGACATGAAATGCAAATGTCTTGGCCTTGCGTCCCTCTTACGGACAATTGCCAGGCAGCACTCTAGGTTGTTGTTCCTTGCCGATGGGGACGCAAACACGAGGTTCTTCCACCTTCAGGCTTGCCACTGCAGTCAAAAGCATCACATCGCCTCGCTCACGGTCCAGGGACATGAACTTGTCATCAGAGAGCAGTTGGCGGAAGCACTGTTTCAACACTACAACGGACTGCTCGGCACTCCATTCCAACGACCGGCCTCTGTGAACTTTGACGGCCTGGGGTTGGACCAGCATGATTTATCCATGCTGGATGTATGCTTCTCAGAGTTTGAGATCTGGGCGACCATCAAGGAGTTGCCGTCGGACAAAGCTCCGGGGCCGGATGGCTTCACTGGGCTGTTCTACAAAGTTGCCTGGCCGATCATCAAGCAGGACGTCCTCAACGCTTTCAACGCGTTCTGGTCGCTGGACGGCCGCAGCTTCCATTTAATCAATGACGCCTTCATGGTCCTAATTAAAAAGAAGAATGCAGCCCAGGAGATCAGCGACTACCGCCCGATCAGCCTAATGCACAGCTTTGGGAAGCTTATTGCCAAGTGCCTTGCCCGTCGGCTAGCTCTTGTGCTGAATGATCTAGTGCACCCATGCCAGAGTGCGTTCATCCAGGGACGCTCCATACATGATTCCTTCAGAGGAGTTCAGCTGACCTGCAAGACTTTGCACCAGAAGAAACAAAGCTGCATTCTTCTGAAGATTGATATTGCGAAAGCCTTCGATTCCCTCTGTTGGCCTTTTCTTTTGGAGGTAATTCAGCGGCTCGGGTTCAGTCAGCGATGGAGGAACTGGATGTCCATCATCCTTGCATCAGCAAGCACCAGAGTCCTCCTCAACGGCAAACCGGGCAAACGCATCTGCCATGCCAGAGGCTTGCGGCAAGGCGACCCACTGTCACCGATGTTGTTCGTCCTAGCTATGGAGGTGCTTGGTGGACTCATCAGGTGGGCTGAGTCCCAGTCCTTCCTCTCACCTATCCGGTGCCCCGCGGTGCGCACAAGGGTGTCGTTATACGCGGACGACGTCGTCGTGTTCATTAAGCCAGGATTGAATGACATCGTCGCCATCAAAACCATCCTGCAGATCTTCGGCGACGCGTCGGGTTTGTACACTAACTTGGGCAAGAGCGTCGCCAACCTGATTGCATGTTCAACAGAGGAGTTGCAGCTAGTGGCAAGCTTGCTGTCCTGCACAATCGGAGCCTTTCCGTGCAATTACTTGGGAATCCCCATCTCTACTCGCTGCCTGCGCCGGACTGAGGAACAATTCCTCATCGATACCGTCGCGGCGCGTATTCCGCTATGGAAGGGCCAGCTCATGAATACGGCAGGCAGGGTTGCGTTGACGCAGGCGACGCTCTCCGCCATCCCAGTGCACCTCTCCATTGCCGTATGTCTGTCGCCATGGGCGGTCGACCGCATTGATAAGCTGCGTCGATCGTTCATATGGTCTGGGTCGGCCTCGGTGGCCGCGGGCAAATGTCGCGTGGCCTGGGACGTGGTCTGTAGGCCAAAGGAGCTTGGGGGCCTCGGCGTCATCAACCTGCGCAGGTTTGGTCTGGCACTTAGACTGCGCTGGGAGTGGCTGCGGAAGGTCGACCCAAACAGAACTTGGATCGATCTGCCGACAACAACCGACAGGACCATGAGTGCCCTCTTAAAATGCGGCAACAATGGTGGCGATCGGGACGGGACCTCAACGCTGTTTTGGCATGACTCATGGATCCATGGATGCGGTACGCGAAAATTGCTGCCTGTGTGTTTGCCTCTCTCCCCCGGGCGAAGGCGAGGTCACTCAGACGTGGCGTCGGATTGGCTGACCACGCATGGGTGTCCGACATCACCGGCGCAAACTGTGCGGGTATTCCTCCAAACACTGGACCTCCGGGAGCGGGTGCACGGGGGCAGTTTGGTCGAGGGGTTACGGACTCCATCATCGGCGTTGGTCCGCTGATCACAAATACTCCGCGGCGTCGGCGTATGGTGCGATGTTGTGGATCGACCACGCCTTTGGGGGCCAAGCTGATATGGGGGACGCGGGCACCGCCGAAGGTCATGTTCTTCTTCTGGTTGGCTATGCATCGTTGTTGCTGGACAGCAAATCGCCGGATGCGGCATGGCCTGCAGGACAGTGACGATTGCATCATGTGTCTTCAAGCATCTAAAACTCTGGATCATATCCCGCTTTGGTCAGTAGCCTCCGCCGCGTGTGTCGATAATCCTCCCATATCGTGCTTGGGCTCACAACCCGCCGCCGCTTACACGGGACGCCGACACCTTTTCGCCGGTGGCTGGGCGGGCGTAGCGTAGGGCATCAAGCAGCAGGAAGGGCTTCGATTCGTTAATCATGCTAAAACGCTGGGTGCTTTGAAGGAACGCAACGCACGGACGCTCAAGAATGAGGCCAAGGACGCCCGAGAGTTGTGTTTGGAGATCCGACAGTGAGGCTGACTTGTGGTTGAGGGCTGGGTATTCGACCGCTGCCGCCACTTCGTTCATGTAATTGGTCACTTGTGACGTTGGTTTTTTCTTTTACCGCTTCTGCTTTTCTTTTTTTCTATTCGGTGGGCAACCTTTGGTTACCTCACGTCGACGTTGCCGTTGTTTGTTTGGATGTTCTCTACTTCCTCTTAATGAAATACGTGCTACAGTGCACGTTCGAGAAAAAAAAAGTCCATTTTGCACATGATGCGTTAGCTTTTGGTGCTGCTGGGGTAAGTCTCGTCTTTCATGTCATCAAGTGTTTAATCCTTGTAAGTAAAGTTCAGGTGCTCAGGAAGAACATAATTATTTTGAACAATAGAGGAACATAATTACTACTTATTACTTAGCAAGTGCATTATATATATATATGAAATAATGAAACACATAATTTAGTCATGGATCCAGAAGCTAGATCAATCAATCATGAACTGAATTATTAGAACTTAGCTCATGATCCAGAAGAAATGAAGAATGCAAACTACTACTGTAGTTAGCATCAAACTAAAAGTTGATGGTCAGGTCGATCAGAGCTGCAAAATTTACGATGCACACTATATATCTTTTTTCTCGACCGTACAATGAGCTATGTATTTCATTAAGAGGAGGATAACATATATGAGACCCAGTAGTTAGGGCGTCGGTGATCTATTCACAATGGTTCCTCGCCACCGTGGGGGATTACTTTTGTAACGGTTACTCCAAATTTCACTTCTTAATGAAAAACGGGTCGAATGTCCGATCGAGAAAAAAAATATCTGAATATCTGCAGATTACCTTTGAAAGGCACGTAGCCTCTCTTGACGAGCTGATCAAAGTTGAGGTACGCCACGAAGCCGCAGCCGCTGTGCGTGAAGAAGAGGTACGCCGGCAGGCCCATCTCCTTGGCGACGTGCACCACGTAGCCCATGGCGCCGTCGGCGACGACGCAGCTGACCGGCGGGACCCCATCCGTGCGGTTCAGCCGCTCGACGAGCCCCTGACGGCGGCCGGGCCCGTCCGGCGCGTGGCCTCGCAGAGCGCCCAGATGTCCTGCGTGGCGTCGAGGTCGGAGGGCGGGAGCCCGTCCGAGATGGTCTCGAACCGGAAGCCCTCGGCACCGGCGTCGAACGCGCCGGCGCCCCGCGCGCGGAGGAGGCGCCCGTGGTTGTACTCCGTGTGGACGAAGGTGACGTGGAAGCCGCGCGCGTGCAGCGCCTTGGCTAGCTTCAGGAACGGGTTCACGTGGCCCTGCGCCGGGTAGGGGATGAGCAGGACGTGCGGCTGCTTATTGGTTGGCTGGGGCTCCGACGACGCCATGCTGCGCTGCGCTTCTCCTCCGGCTGTGTGGTTTAGGCCTTTAGGGAGGAGGAATGAGGCTGGGAGTGGGAGTGGGAGGAAGAAGATGTCAGTTGGTCAAGAAAGCCTTGCTGTTTTAAAATAAAATGTTTTTGTTGGAAGCAAGGATGGAATCCTAGAACAAAGGGAGATTATAGTAATGCTATGCTCTTGTGGAGGGTGGACCATGGATTGAGCAAGTCAACTAGCTCCATAAACCCATTCCCATGAGTGTGTGATAACTGATGAGGTGAGCAAATAAAATAGCTCCATAAAATAGCCGTTCTGGAGAAATAAGTTCAGCCTGCTGGTCCCATATGCATGGAAACGAACTCAGATGCTACACACTGATCCTGTTTCATCAATTTTCTGTTTTCTCCGTCTTATCATGACAATTGTTACACCAGCTGCAAAAGGCTGTACCATGATTAAAATAATTGATCTTGATCCAGCGTCTCAGTTACTTTGCATGTACTGGAAGATTATCACTTTTGGCTGGGATGTATATATTCTGGGAAATTACCACATTCGTCCCATCTGTTAGTGCTGAATTGATTGAAGAAAATACTGACCACAAAGCACTAGTTACATTTCAGTTAGGTTTTGCACAAACGTGTTTCAGTTCTCAGTTACGTTTTGTCCAAACGTGTTTCAGTTTAGTCAGGCATGGCGCAGAAAGCTGACCTCGAACTTTTTCATTGCACAAATTTCGGTTAAAGCGCAAACTGGACAGTGGTGCAATGCCAAGAAGAAGCTCATTGCACAAACGTATACGCCAGCGACACGCGAGGGCCCCAGTGGCTGAGGGAAGCCACTGTGGTGGACCCTCCCCACAAAAAAAATATTTAATATCGCAGTGAGTACCTGGCCCATAATAAACTGATGCCCACATATCAGATATTAAACTGATAAGAGGTGTTTGATTCCCCTACTAAAATTTAATCCATCACATCAAATGTTTAAACACATATAGTATTAAACATAAACTAATTATGTAGATTAAAACTAATTTACAAGACAAATCTATTAAGCCTTAGTCTTTCTAATTAGGATCAAATACCCAATGATTAAACTTTAGTCTCTGGATAAAAAATAATAAAAAATAAATCGCCAAAAGGCCGAGAAAGGCATGAGTTGCAGCCGGGCACCCTCGCCTTCTTTTGTAGAGCGCCCTCGCGCCTCTCGCCTCTCCGCGGTTCAGCAGGCGATGTGGGACTAACAGCTGCACCGCCCCTACTAGTACTATCCCTTCCCTGCGGTCTGGTTCTCAGCTCTCCCCCGTGCGCACGGTGCGCGGCGCGCGAAAGCGCTGCTTGTTTGGGCCTAATGCTGTTTCCCGTTCGCGGCTGACACGTCCGGCCTCCTTTTCCGGCCCAAGTTGCTAGTCTCATGGGCTGTACTGTAAAAGGACCGTAGAGGTTGCAAGTGCTCTCTCTGTCTCTCACGGTCACGGCCTGACGAACTGAGGGATGTCGCAAGCAGACTTCCCCTCCACTCAGTTCTTCAGTTGTCCGGTTGTCCCAGTTCACTCGCATCATCTCCTGTTCATCGATGGCCATGGCGTACTTTGCGCTTAACCAAACAACATTGGTGAGGACAAGTTGTTGCAAGCCTCCGGGTAACTCGACAATGGTGTCCGGCCACACGGTGTGGACGCCTCACATCACATCCTCGGTGCCCTTGACTTGTCTCGTACTTTGTGGGTGGGACACCAACAGATTGGAGCTGGTTTTTATTTCCTCATCAAACATACACTTGCACAAACCTTTCATCGTGAAAGCAAAGCAATAAAATCTCTGAAACAGAACCAAAAGAACGGAAGAAACTCCGATTCTCCATAGTCACTTTGATAGTTATTTTCATACACAGCCTTAGTTTTTTTAGATGGTTAAGTGCATAACTTATGCAGAGACCGGAATAAAAAATTCTTTTTCTAAAAAAAAGGCTTTGTTTTCTTTCCATAACGTGCAGATTTTCTCCTCTCTGAAGACATAGCATTTATATATGTTTTCTCATCTCACCTAGGGTCTGGTTTCATATTTTTTTCGATAATACATAAAACAATTTTCTATGGATTTTTTAGAATTAAACCAGGTTCTAGATTTTTAATATCATGGCTTTTAAAAAAAAAGTATATTTACACATTTTGAAAAAAAAATATATATAGTTTTTCTTTGAAGTCTGCTATCTCACCATGAACCAACATTATTATAGTCCGATTTAGCCCTCGTGTTTGATGACACGCCACATAAGATGGATGACGTGGCACTACGTAGGCTGAAGGTGTCATCTAAATTGTCTATGTGTTGTAAAAACAAACTGTTTTAAAGGTTAGGATTAGGATATGACAAACATTTGGTTTTGTACAGATGACATGAGAAAAAAGAAAATCAGACTTTGGAAATAGCTGGTGGGGAGGCAAATGTCCTTTTTTCATGTGAATTCTTTTAGTAGGCCGTGCTACCAGCCGGCCGCCCTACTGGGCGAGTAAGAGCATCCAACAAATGTGTGACAGACGGCTAGCATGTTGGGCAGGTCCGTGCCCTTGAAGCCGCGAGGGGCCCTGCGTGCGTCCGTCCACGGTAAGTGCGAGTGCGACGAGGAGTCCAGGTCCAGGTCCAACCTGCGTGATTCGCGTGGATCTTCCGCATGTGTGGTCACGTGCGGAAATAAAAGGCTCGTCACAGCAGGGCCAAGGCTCTTGCATATTCACCTCGTTTTCTTCAGGATTCTGGATTCAAACCAAACGAAGGGCCATCACAGCAGGCCCTGCCCGCTCGTGAGTGGCACACCATCAGCATCAGGCCGTCGCTTTCTTGCCTGATCTGGTGTGGATTGTCGAAACGTGGAGGAGCTGTGTTAGCAGCACACAATCTAGAGGAGGAATTCGGCCAACTCCACGACAATCAGCCCATGTAATAAGATCCGATACAATATACTCCATCCGTTTCAAAATATCTAGCATCTTCACCTCTCGAGAAAAAAACTTTAACAAAATATATATTAAAAATATTAATATTTATGATACATAATTGATATCATTAGAAATATATTTGTATCTAGTTTTTTAATATATTTGTTTGGAGATACAAATGTTGCACGTATTTTCTATAAATCGAGTTAAACTTGCGGCACAGAAATAAAAAGCGACAGATAATTTAGACAGAGAAGTAAGATAGAATCGGGGAGAAGACAGCCAGCAGGCGAATCGGAGCTAGGAGGAAGACGCTAGTTCATGCCCACATGGCAGGATAAAGTAAAAATAGCCCCTAAGGGCACATGGCAGGCAATCCTAAGTAGCTGGCATTTGCGGTGGTGGTGGTGGTGGTGGGTAGGTGACGAAACGGGGAGCCAGAACCAGACCAGCGGGCAGTAGCGGCGAGGACTGGAGGCAGCAGAGATGCATGCATCTCCCGCATCTGGCCTGGCCAAGTCGTGCTCGTGCTGCGCGTGCTCCGCTCGGTGCTCAAATCAAACATGCCGGCCGGCGGCCCGGGGTCCGTGGAAAAGACGAACCGACCTTCCAGGCAGCCTCCTTCCTTCATCTGCACTTCTTCTCATCAACAACGTACAGGTAGTAGCAGCACTAGAGCGTAACGACGCCGTATTCCGCGGCGGTTTACCTACCGGCAAGCTAGTTACCGTGCTGGGGTATCGGCAACGGCGGACGCATCAAAAAGTTTTATAAAGGGTAAAGGTAGATCAAATTCAAGAGAGATGTATTTACTGCCATTAATTACTGCGTAAACTTCGGCACCATGAAATTTAAGCGTGATTTCGCCTGCGGAGAGCTGCGGCGAGGGGAAGCCGTACGTATCGGCAGAAAAACGGACACGTCTCGTCGCGCGGTCGGCATCGTATATCGTACCTGATTTGTGATGGACAGGATGTATATTCACACGGATTTGTTGGTCTATCATCTCTTTCTGTTTCGAGTGAGGCAATCTCTCCCCGGCCATCTTGATGAGGATTGACGTCACACGCAGATTGTTTTTGTTGCATCTTGCCTAGCTTGGCCGTGCAAGCTAGTTGAACCTGGTCGCTCGTGCCAGTGTGTGTAGCGATCTGGACCAGACAACCGGTACGCATCTTACGGACGGAGGAGTGCTGGATATATATGAAGAAGCGATGAAGCAAAGGTTTTGGATTTTTTTTAAGCTTGTCATCTTAAGTGTCTGATACTAATCTACTAGATAATGCTAGTATTATTAGGTGACGAGGAGAAGAGGACACTAAAGTCTGTGTCACTACGTTTTTGTCGTGCCGTGGTAGCAATGCAAGCAAACTTCGTTCAGCTTGGCAGCATTGGAATTCCTGTATTACTTTAGACATCGGCTTTTCTTGGACATCAGTAAAGTTCGAAGACCAGCGCCAATTAAGTAGCATTAGCCTCAAAACAAAGGGTAAGTGTGCAAATTACCTTATGATCTGTAAGCTTATGAGGCCTTCCTTGCAAACCAAGTCTTTTTTTTTTTGAAAAAAAAAACAAAGCAGACGTTCGCAAACGTGCATCCAAGCTCATCATCCTTATGAACAAATATACACACAAGGCAACTAATTCCTTTTTTTTACAGTAAACAAATTCCTTATGTTGTGTGGTCCATGCATAAAGTAACTATATGGACTCGTCTCTACTACTGAGAGAATGAATTAATAGCACCACTAATCTATAGAACAAATAATCTTGAAAAAATACGATCTCATGTGTCTCACATGTAACGGATTAATGACTTAATCGATAGGTATATGACTTAAATTTGAATGGAATGATTCTAAACAGGCTTATTTTTTTATAAATCTAATCAAACTTATAAATATTTGACACCTCGAAAAACAAAATATATAGTTATATTTTAGGACAGATGAGTACACTACCGGCATGTTTGATACAGTCTCATTTCCCGGTGACAAAAATACTTCACGTTTGGTACAGCCTCACTAGTCACTACGGTAGAGTCGTGAGGTGAAACTACCTTGAATCACGCACCTATATTGACACTGTTACTCCGATCGAGGCCCACCACGCTGGCACCACTCTCTTCTCTACAATAAATAGTACAATATCTTTTCCTCGGAAATATTTAAGTCATATATTTCTGAGGTGAGACAAATATTTCAGAGCTAATAAGAGAGCGCAGGAAATGGAAATCATTTCTTGTCCCAGTCGTAAGGCCCCGTTTGCTGGTCTGAACTTTGGCTGAAACTGACTGAAAAATACGGTTCCGGCTGAATTGTTGTGAAAAAAAAAATACTATTCTGACTGAAAAAATAAATCAAATAAGTCAAATTTAAGACAAACGAAAGGGGCCATGGGCTCATCATTTCACGGAATCACGGTTCATGTCCCTTGGGCCTTGGCCTTGTGTTACGGTCTTGCCGGATTCTTTTCCGAGGCATTTTCACCGGAGTTTCGACCGAGCATCTCCGAAACTGACATGCACGGTGCTTCCTGGTCAGGAAATGACAGTGAAGTCTATTGGTCTCGTGCCACGTGGAGAATCCTCATGCAGTGCGGCCCTGCGCTGCGCATGCCATGCGATGTGGCTGGCCGGGAAGGGAAGCCACAGGGAGAGGCACAAAGTTGCTCTGGGCCCGGGATCCCACACTCCGACCGACCAGGCCCGTGCCATGCGCGCCACCAACCAAGCCCCTGCCCCACCCAACTCGTGGTCGTGATGTGGGCACGGCCGCGGCTGACTCATCGGCTGGTCGCCCTCGCAGCTCGGTGGCTGGTGGAGCCCGACAAAAGTAGCTGGGTCCACACGTCAGTTCGTGCTTGCACGACTGGAGCCGCTGGCAGGGGTCCCAAGCTCTGTGAGCCGAGCCGGTTCTGACTTGTGAGCCACTTCGCCGTACCTGGCGTGGTCCATCCTCACGTGGACGTGGGGCAACTGCTGTCTGGCGCTGAGCCTGAGCAAGCCCCGCTGCCGAGTGCGTGCCGGGGAGGCGGCGGGGACGCGAGAGCAAGCGGAAAGGATTTCCGATTTCTTTACCAACCACGACTAAACGAAGGCTGTGATTTAGATCTTGTTTGGTTAGCTTTTAAAATTTGACAGTCAAAAAAATTGACAATAAAAAGTTAAGCTATAACATTTGCCACAGATTTAATAATTAATTGTAAGGTGTTGGTCAATTTTGACAACAATCTAAATAGAGACAAAAGAAGAAAACTTGACTTGCCTAAGTTTTAGCAACAAAAAATTTAGCTATCAACCAATCAAGCTCTTAATGTATTGTTATCCTCTCAATATGATTCCACTTCATTACCGTTTATATTTACACTTGCCAACCAAACAACACCGTGACTCCGTGAGTCACACATTCTTCGTTTTGGCTTTGAATATGTTGAATGTTTGTAGATTCAAAATACAAGATTGATGTTGTGTATAACTTGCTAATATTTTAAAACATATAACTCTTTTTCTGTTTGATGTAATTTATTTTTCTATAATATTGGATCTAGTCAATTTCATAACAAATACATACCATGTCGACTTCTAATTTGCTTATTTTTATCAGAAAAGCTAGCTAATTAGTTGTCCCAACCTTTAGATAATTTCAAGTTTGTTACTCCTATCATCCTGAAATATAAGATATCTCAGTTTATCTTGAGCCAAACTATTTTAAACAAACCAAATATATAAAAAATTTATTAACATCAACCATATCAAAGAGCTAAGTTATGAAAATATATTTTATAATATACCTAATGATGCTTATTTGATGTCATAGTTATCATTGTTTTTTCTATAAATTTAGTCAAACTTGGTATAATTTGACTTAGGACAACTTAAAATCTCGTATGTTTCATGACGGAAAGATTTTTGTATCGCTCTGTCCTGGAATATAAAGTACCATAGCTTCAAAATTTGTCCTAAATTATATGGTATTCTATATTGCTCAACATCATCCATGCATATCTGCCTTTTAAAATCCAGCTATGCATGTATCCATACCATGCTTTTTAAACACCATCTGGCTCATGTAATCGATACACAAATTCAATAGCATGCATGCCTTTTAAAACTATGTCGGCCTTATTTAAAATTACTTGATACCTTGTATTTCAGGACAAGAGAGTAAGTATTTAGATTGTGATCAAGAAAATTTACCGTTAGGCTATAATTTAGAAAGGAATTTTTGCGCACTAATTTTTGAACAATGTACCTTTCAAAACACAACTTAGCTTCGATCCAAAGCACATATAGTAGAACAAAAACGGACTACCTCACTAGTTAAATAAAGAAGAACTTGGAACCGGCACTAGTCGGAAAGCTTGAACTGGCTTTTGTGGTGAACTAGAACACTGGATTTTTTTTACGATGAATGCAACGACCAGTTCCATATTCTGGAGTTAGTTTGGATTTTGGAACATTGGAACTATAGACTGATACAAGATTTATTGTGTCATATCATACGTGATATAGTTGGGCAGATCCTCTTATATATATACTCCGTTCATTTTAAATTCAAATTATTAAGCTGTTTTATGACTAAGTAAAGAGTACAATAAAAGACTAATTTATTTCTAACTGATTAGTTAGTTTGGTTGTCAACTTATTTAATTTTATAGTAATACAGAGTTAATGATATAAACCCATATCATTGATTTCGGCTACCAATTTTGCAAGATGGCGTTTAAAAGGCACGTATATATGGATAACTAGATAAGATTGAACAACGTAGAATATCTTATAATTTAATATAATTTTAAACCTTCAATGCCTTGTATTTTAAGATATTTATATATTTTATATATAATGTATTGATAAATAGGCTAGTATGACATGTGGTGCGCTGCCTCCCTACCCCGTGCCGCCCACCTCCCACCCCGCCCCTTGACCCTGCCCTCTTCCTCGTCCTCGCGCCCGCTGCCGCCCATCGCCCCGCCATCGCGCCGCGGAGCTCCGGTGAAACCCTAGCGTGCCCATGACAACCTCTTTCTTCTCCGCCCCTCCTTCTTCAGCGACATGCTCTGGCCATGGACACCCCACCCCGACCTGGTCCGGCTGCCTCCGTTGCCGCCAGGACCTTATTAACACCGCCCCTCCCGCCTGTCCTACTACCTGGACGGCTTGCCTCCCCCGAGCCCCTTGTCTTCTAAGCCCGTCGGAATTAGAGAAGAAGAGAGTGAGAGTTGTAGAGAGAGAGGCGGCGTCGTTGCCGTCAGAACCTTAACGCCGTCGCCATCTTCTTCTTCGTCTCCGGCACAGACGCGGGCATAGGCGTGGGAAAGGGTCGATGTCGCCGTTGGAACCCTAGCGCCGCAGCCATCTTCTTCTTTTTCTTCGGTGCGGGCGCAGGTGCGGAATGAAGAGGGAGACGCGCGGGAGGGGGGCACGCCGTCGCGTACTTGAGATTGCGTATGACGATACCCAATTCAAAGCGGTTCTCAAATTTTCCGTTTCATGACCAAGATTTTCGCTCGCACGTGTGCGATGCAAAGAGCACAGCTCGATGGATTTGTAGCCAAGCCGAACTTCCACGCCTAGCCGCCTACCAGATACCGTACCGAGCCCGCACCTACGCTCTTTCTCTGCCGTCACGCCCCACACTGTCATAGACGTAGACTCGCCACCAAACCCTGGTGGTACGACCGCTCTAATTGCAGCCACAATCCCCAAACTACCCTTCCCCCTCCGTTCCATTTCCACCGTCTCGTCGCCACCCGGCGGCAACTACCCCACCCCCTCCGTCGTCGTCGCTCACGGCTACCAACCCCTCCTCCTCCGCCCGCCAATAAATACCGCCCCGCTCGCCATCTCCATTTCCTCAGAGGAGACGCCCTGCACTGCACGCCTCCTCCCCCATCTACCACTACCTACCCATCTACCACCTCTCGCTCGACCGCCTCGCTCGCAATGGCGCTGGCCACCAACTCCGCCGCCGCCGCCGCCGCCGCCGCAGCGGCCGTATCCGGCGGCACGGCATCCCAGCCGCGCCGCGCGGCCGCGTTCCTCCCGCTGAAGAGGCGCACCATCTCCGCCATCCACGCCGCCGACCCGTCCAAGAACAACGGGCCCGCCGTCCCCGCGGCCGCCGCTGCCAAGTCCTCCGCCTCGGCGGTGGCCACGCCGGAGAAGAAGCCGGCGGCTCCGGGGAAGTGGGCGGTCGACAGCTGGAAGTCGAAGAAGGCGCTGCAGCTCCCCGAGTACCCGAACCAGGAGGAGCTGGACACGGTGCTCAAGACCATCGAGACGTTCCCGCCGGTCGTGTTCGCCGGTGAGGCGCGCCACCTCGAGGAGCGCATGGCCGAGGCCGCCATGGGCCGCGCCTTCGTCCTCCAGGGCGGTGACTGCGCCGAGAGCTTCAAGGAGTTCCACGCCAACAACATCCGTGACACCTTCCGTATCCTGCTCCAGATGGGCGCCGTGCTCATGTTCGGTGGTCAGGTGCCGGTCGTCAAGGTACCAACTAACCCACCAAAATCCACCAGACCACTACTAAATTCCAGTCACCACCAGGCATGACGGTTTGCCAGATCTGATCCGACCTGTTCCGACGTTGTTGTGCATGGTAGGTGGGGAGGATGGCTGGCCAGTTCGCCAAGCCAAGGTCCGAATCATTCGAGGAGAGGGACGGCGTTAAGCTGCCGAGCTACAGGGGCGACAACGTCAACGGCGACGACTTCACGGAGAAGAGCCGCGTGCCGGACCCGCAGAGGATGATCCGCGCCTACGCGCAATCGGTGGCGACACTCAACCTGCTCCGCGCGTTCGCGACCGGAGGGTATGCTGCCATGCAGCGCGTCACACAATGGAACCTCGATTTCATGGATCACAGGGAGCAAGGTGATAGGTGAGAAAAATCACCCCTTTTCCTGCGTTTTTCAGTAGCGCTTTTGGTGTGGTGTGGAGGTTGTAAAGTCGCTGTCGTGTCAGAACGAAAATCTCTTGCACACCTCGTTATCACGATGATATGATGAAGAAAAATAACTAGTTATGCAATATAGGTTACCAGTGATAGCACGGATCCGCCACTTTTGGTGCTAATTTCAAAGTGGAAGTAACTATTCTTAGATACTGAACATTTTGATGAAAGTTTAAAATATGGATGGAACTAGAACCATTCTTAAAATAGAGCAATGGTGCTCAGCATTTTTTGTGGTTCTTATCGTTTGTTAGTCGTCAATGGTGTAAAAATCACGTGGCTCTTTTGGGCCATAATAAGTCAGTAGTACGAAGTTGGGTATAAGTAGTTGCAGTAGAACATGTCGGATCTTTCCCTTTACATGTCCCTTTCTTTTGAGGAAGCTTCTAGCAGGGCATCGCTGTCTTTGAGTGCATCTCCTTGTTGCATATGTTGATTTTTTGTTTTGTTTGCGTAAACAAGGTACCATGAGAAAGTATTATTGTCAGTCAATAAAACATGTCACTGGTAATCTGACCATGAAATTCCTTATTGGTCATATTTAATGCATACAATTTTTCTTTCGGTTCAAGGTTTTGATTTACTCATGGCAATGTAGTCTATACTGTTTAATCGATGTACTTTATAATATTTTGTGGACTAAGTATTTGGATTTTCCTGGAAAATTGTTGCCCCACCAAAGTTTTCACAAGTCTCCATCAGAAGGGCACATGTAAAACAACAATTTGTAACCAGAGATACAAGAATAGCTTCGCTAATCATATATTATTGCTACATGATTACATCGAATGTTTATCTAATTTTGGTTGAATTAAAATTTTGTCCGTGTAGCATGGATCCGCCTCTTTTGGTGCTTATTTCAAAGTGGAAGTAGCTATTCTTAGATACTGAACATTTTGTTGAAAGTAAACATATGGATGGAACTAGAACCATTCCTGAAATGTTTAGATATATTTTTTTTCCTGTGGCCTGACCATGTAAATAAAGCAATGGTTCTCAGCATTTTTGGTGGTTCTTGATTGTTTGTTGGTCGTCAATGCGGTAAAATCACGTGGTTTTTTGGGGCCATAAGTAAGTACGAAGTTCGGTACAAGTAGTTGCAGTAGAATATGTCAGGATCTTTCCCTTTACATGTCCCTTTCTTTCGAGGAAGCTGCTAAACAGGGCATCGCTGTCTTTGAGTGCATCTCCTTGTTGCATATATTGGTGTTTTATTCTTTTGCGTAAACAAGGTACCATGAGAAAGTATTATTGTCGTCAATAAAACATGTCACTGGTAATCTGGTATTTTCTAGTATAAAGTTACTCCATTAGAGTATGGTGCTCCACCATGAAATTCCTTTATGGATCATATCTAGTGCATACAATTTTTTCTTTCTTTTCAAGGTTTTGATTTAGTCACGGAGATGTAGTCTATATTGTTTAATTGATGTACTTTATAATATTTGTGGACCAAGTATTTGGCTTTTCCTGGGAAGTTGTTGCCCCACCAAAGTTCCCATAGGTCACCATCAGAAGGGCACATATAAAACAACAATTTGTAACCAGAGATTTACATGTTATGATACAAGAATAGCTTAGCTAATATTATACTGTTGCTATATGATTACATGAAATGTTTATCTAATTTTGGTTGAATTAAAAATTTGTGTTTGCAAATGGTCAAATGAATATCATAATCTGATGGCTTGAGTATTTTCATTGGATGGCATATAGGTACTGTGAATTGGCCCATAGGGTGGATGAGGCTCTTGGGTTCATGACTGCAGCAGGACTTACTGTTGACCACCCGATAATGACGACTACTGACTTCTGGACCTCGCACGAGTGCCTTCTCTTACCCTACGAGCAGGCTCTTACCCGTGAGGACTCCACCAGTGGCCTTTTCTATGATTGTTCAGCCCACATGTTGTGGGTTGGTGAGCGCACTCGTCAACTTGATGGAGCTCATGTTGAATTCCTCCGTGGTGTGGCCAACCCTCTTGGCATAAAGGTCGATTTTAAATCCTTTTTTTCTATTGATTAAGTGAAATCTAGGCACTGTGCTTGTCCTGTCATCCTGACTGTCAAATTGGCATGTAATTTGCGGAATGTAGGTGAGTGACAAAATGAATCCCAGTGACTTGGTGAAGCTGATTGAGATTCTGAACCCTTCAAACAAACCCGGAAGGATCACCATAATTACAAGGATGGGGGCAGAGAACATGAGAGTGAAGTTGCCTCATCTAATTCGTGCTGTCCGCAATGCTGGATTGATTGTCACATGGATTACTGATCCTATGCATGGAAACACCATAAAGGCCCCTTGTGGCTTGAAGACTCGTCCTTTTGACTCCATTCTGGTGAGTCACCTTCCACTGTGAATTTCTTCATTTATGCATTTCTGTTATGATAAGGTTGAACGAGTCTCAGTTTTGTTTGAGCGTTCATATGTCTGTATCGGGAATGTGGAATGATATCTAAAGTTCCTATCCATTCTATTGCTCTGCGTTTCTACTTGTAAGTCTGTAAGATTGCAGGACTTTAGGGCATATGTTATCTGCTTATGATTTAATAGAAGTAGGATCACTAGGCTACTTATCCTCAACAGGTCAACAAAGTACTTGGCTGGGCTGGGGCTAATGATCTTGTTCAAATTCATTTTTAAGCATAATTTGGGTCTGCATTTTAGGTGCTGCTATTAATGTGTTTTCAGCTTAAGTTCTGATACAAGCCATTTGCTGATGTCTTTTCAGCTTCATGAATGGATGTTAAAATGCCACTCTAAGAGTAATATATTTGATCAATGAATTGGTTGAGAATAGATTTGATCAATGTATTTTCACTGGAGTATTTACACTTTATCTAGAAACATTCCATCCTGGCCTTCCAACTGATATCATTGCTCTAATCACGAACTCCATTATATATTTAACAGGCTGAAGTGCGCGCATTCTTCGACGTGCATGACCAAGAAGGAAGTCACCCAGGAGGCATCCACCTTGAAATGACTGGGCAGAACGTGACCGAGTGCATTGGTGGATCACGGACTGTGACCTTCGATGACCTGAGCGACCGCTACCACACCCACTGTGACCCAAGGCTGAACGCCTCCCAGTCCCTAGAGCTCGCCTTCATCATTGCAGAGAGGCTCAGGAAGAGGAGGATGCGGTCGGGGCTCAACAACAGCCTGCCACTGCCACCACTAGCTTTCTAAATAGCCGGAGCCGAACAGAGAGGGTAGGAATAGCTGCGGCGACTTGAAAGAGGTGATCGATGCCTATTTATTTGTTGATGCTTGGTGTGGTGGCCTGGTGGGTGCTCTTGGCACAAGTTACATGCTGGGGAGCTATAGGAGGTACTTCTTGTGTTGTGGAAGACAGTAGCTAGCATTATGTGTTGCTGTAATTGTATGCCTTCGTTTCCTGTTTTGGATGCGTGACCTGCCGACTTAGCTGCTTCTGGTGTTTTCACCTTGGTAAGGAGAGAATAAAGAGATAATGGGAATGCAATGTTTGCTGGTGCTCAATAAATTGATCCCCTTGATGGTTCTATCTGTTCTCTTCTGCTGCACCTTTCCCAGATGCAGTGGTGTGAAATGCTTGTTCGTAACTGTGACCTGTAGTTGCAACTGCCAGCACCACTGTGCTTACAAGCTTTTGTGGAGTTAATTTGGAATGGAGGGATACCTAGTAGCTGTATTTCTCAGCAAAGTTCCGGACTGTAGAAAACGAGCGAGCAGGCAACAACTTCCATGCAGAACTCGACATCTACTTCCATCTTACATTACAGGCACTTTGTCGTCTCCAAAGCTAAGCAGGACGGCTTTGCAGTGATTAACACGAGTGGTACCACCAAACGCCAATAAGCGTTCTTCATCTCCACAGTCAAGATCAGTGACGGACTGACCGTACATGCAGCAAACTGACGGTGAAAAACCATTCCTTTTCTTAAAAAAGGGTGTAAACTCCACTGTGCTATGTAAGTTCGATGGAGCAAGCCTTCAGTTCCAAAGGGCTCAAATGGAGTTAGGTTTTGTGACATCTAATTCAGTTTAAATTAGGCTCGTATGGGGGATTAGTCCCACATTGGTTGTTTAGGATGTGTATTAGTCTATTAGATCAACATATAAGATATTAACTTCAACCGATATATTGAATCAGTATTTAGTTGCAATGAAATCTGGTACTCACTCCATTCAAATATATATGAGGTTTCAGACATCTAATTAGACTTGGATTGCGTGTAGTTTAATTTTGCTGTCTAAAACGTCATATAATTGACTGGAGGTAGTATTACAGGTTCCTTTCTATTAAGCTGTATTATATTTATATGTGAACACCGAAGGCAGTAGATGGGTTAACGAAGATCATGATGGTTGCATTAGGCAGCAGTGCAGCACGGCAGAAACAACGAATGAATGCCCAGAAACACTTAGCACACTACTCTAGACCGATCTGAAACTTTATTAGAGTGCATACCATTTTTTTCCAGCGTAACCGCTGAGGCCAATTTCTCAGCGAAGCTCCGGATTAAACGAGATGAGAGACCAGGCGAAAGTAACTTCCATTTTACAGCATCTTGCGATGCCAGGCAGGCAGGATATCACCGAGCACAGTAACTTTCCCATCTCCAAAACTAATAAGCAGCATGACTTTCTTGTGATTAATAATGGTCCGTACCAACAACTGGAACTTCATATGCACAATCATGATCAACCCTGGTGGTACATGGAACGGGGACTTGCAAGTGCTATGTGACCCTGACCTCAGAACAGGAGAGCGCCCCCCTGGTGAGATCAGACGATTTCATTCTTCAATTGCATTTCGATTTTCAAACCAACATCGGTACAAATAGCTTATATGCTCAAATATATGTTCAAGTTGAGGAGAATTATTAGTCTGTCTCAAATTAGAGAGCCAACGACTAGAAGGTCGCTGATCAGTACCAGAGACAAGCAACACTTCCATCAAAACTACTAGAAAACAAAGCGCGGCGTTGCCGCGTTCCTGTGTGGAGTGCCTCCCATTGTGAAGCCATGTTTTTGTGAATCTCAAATGTGGTGGGGCAGAGGTTAGGAAGAGCGGATTGTGTCCAAATATAGTGTTAATGTCCTCATTTGTAATCTGAGCTGTACATAAATATTTATGACTTGTTCTAGAAAAATGAAGTTCTAGAGTTATTTCTACTCCGGAATTGTAGAGCACTGAGTTTATCTGCATTGCATTGCTGAAGAAGAGTGTGGAGGTTAGATGAAACCAAGCATTTCATATTACAGGTGCCAATGTGACTGATAGCTCTTGGAAGTTGGAACCCTGATATACATACAGAGATAAATGAGAGCGTGAATAAAACATTTCATATTAAAGGTGCTAAATTTATGTACTGTGAAACCTGTTGTTACCATACATGTAAGGGATTATCTAAGTACAATTGTTAGCAGAGCAGAACAGAATCAAGAGATCATGGATCACTCTTGCAAAGCGTTATTATCAGCGAATCCTCAAATAAGGAAAGAGTCAAATGATGCATGAAGAAACATGAAGTAATTCATTGCCACAAGCTTTTATAAGGAATAGATAGCAGTAGTACAATATAACTAATACAGAAAAAACAAATGTGCAGAATGCTAATGTTTTTGGCTTGAATTTGCCTTTCAGCTTTCAGAAGATTTTTTTCAGTGGTGCAGCTTGATTTCACCGGGTGATAACAGATAAGGTTATATATATATAAGTAAGAGCATAAAAAGCTCAGAACATTTGTTTCAGAAAATGTGGTCGATATAAGAGCATAAAACAAAATTGAAGTACTGATTACTGAAGGGTGGGATCGACTAAAACTAAAAACGTGCATCACTGACAAAGTACAGTTTGCTAATGGTCAGATATAACAGCTGCCTCTTTACCTTGTATTCAGGTTTCTCTTGAACCATTAGCAATTTTTAGCATGCAGGATGCAGCTCACATGAAAGAAACCTCGTGAGTGATAATCTTCTTAATATTCAAATGTATATCTTTCGTACATCTGGTAGTGATAACTGTGTTAACATTAGTAGTGTTTCTGCAATGATGTTTTTGGATAGAAAATGGAACTACTTATAGTGATCCCTCTTTTATAGCGCATATACAATTTGTTTCCCCCTTGCAGGGTATACAATAAAAAAAAAGTCTAAGATAAGTTAATTTGCCCCCAGAACTCCAAAAGTCATAAGTGGGAAACTTTAGTGGCTCATAGCCAAATACTACGTCTATTCACTTCCCTAACGATTTGTTTGTTCCTAGGATGGTCACATATACAAGAGTTTAATCACTTGAAAAAATTCTGGGGCACTAAATCAGCAGAAACATTATGGCTTGCAAGATGTGCCTGGATATTATTCTTTTTTTTAATTACCAATAGAACATTAGTATACAAGGTTTGTCTAACTGAATATATTGGACAATATTTTTTTAGTCCTTTAATCCCAAAGTGCCAATTGATTCATAATTAGCATAATGATAGTGTGATTTATGTCCAAATCCTATGAACCAATATTCCTAAGGAAACCTGGAATAATTGATAAATGGAAACGAACTGCACGGTAATCTCCAATGTGTTAGTAGAGATTAGAAAGACTTCACCACTACCACAGGGCGCCACTGCAGCCGAGTAGGGGGCAGAGTAGGGTACCTTGATTTTATATCTCAAAAAATGTTAGTTTATAAGGTTAAATTCACAAGTCATAATACCATGAGCAGCACTTTATTGATCTGTGACTGGCAGTTATAAACCAAGATTTTTGCCTAATGCCTCTGGGTAGAAGTGCAGCATTTGAGTATTGTACAGTGCCTACTTACTGGTGTTTGATTCTGGTAGAAAATACAACATGATGCCCAAAAAAATAAGAGTCCTATGATGCAACCATTGCCAAGTTCCATTACTCAAAAATATGATTACTCAAAGACAGGGAAATTTCAATATTGATAATTCAAAGCTCGAGGTTATAAGCTGGGGAACACTTCATTTTCCAATTTTCCATAGGGTATTGTTGCCATTTATTGCAGATGGATGTAGCAAGGAAGAGCTAGTATGCATGCTATGCACATGATTTCCACCATATCACTTGATAACCTTTGTGGCTCAAGTATTCATCAGCATATCAGAGGTCGATCTTTTGATCTTTTTTTTTTGTTATCTTTGTAAAGATGCTGTAGATCCAACTATCCAAGTCCAGAACCGGTAAACAGAACTGATTTGCCTTTGAATCTTCTTACTTTTTTTCTTGAGAATTGTCTTACTGATATTGAATATGTAATGGCTGTACTGTTATTTTTATGTTTCATACATAAGCCATCAAGTCAATATTGTTCTTCTGTTTAATATTGTTTTCATGAACTGAGATTCGAGCGATTATTATATCAAACATTATGTAAGACTGAATGATAACATTCCAGTCTTTTTTTTGCTGAAAAAAAAATATTCCAGCCTATAATTTGATTAAGCAAAAGTAATATTGCAACCAGAATTTTTTTAATCAAGAAAAAGGCATGGCCTAGAGCAAGAATTCAAGCAAGAGAGGTCTTTCAACATAGCAATGAAATGAAATTTAGTATGTGCTAATGAATCAAAGACCTATGTGTTGCATCAGAAGGCCTGGATATGCAAAGAATAACTGTCCGATAGACAGAGCTGGACCTTGTAAGCATTTGGTCGAGCATGTGGTGGGCGTCGTCCATGGCGCTGTCCACCGCAGCTAATGGGGCATTATCTGGAGCGTTCTATGGCACGAGAGGGAGCACAGAGGTACGGGGAAGCTGCGCAGTGTTGGCGCTGTTTGCCTTCTGTCTCGTGGCAGCGACGCTCACCTTCCCCCACGGCAGCGAAGACGTGGCGTGAGGAGGCGGCCCTTTTGCGCAGCCAAGTAGGGAGCACAGCAGGGGGGCAGGGGCGCCGCGCCCCGCAGCTGAGTTGCCGACCAAGGCGGCAGGGCGCCGCGCAGCAGAGCAGGGACGCTCGCCGAGCGGAGCCGGGGTCGGAGGCGGGAGGCCGGGGCGCCCGGGGCCGGGGGCGGTACAGCGAGGCTGGGGAGCAGTGCCAAGAGTTTGGGACCGCGTGAGGTGTAGGCGTGGAGACGCCGCGTCGAGTCGCCGAGCAGGGGGAGCTGGGAGCGCCGCCGCTCGCCTGTGCGCCTTCGGTTATTCGAGAGGAAAGTGAAAGAGCTTGCGGGCGTGTAGGAAG